GAGCTATGGAGAAAAAGAGCGAGTTGGAGGTGCCACTCTTCCATGGAGATAAGGATGAAGCATTAGATTGGCTTCTCTATTTAAAGGAACATTTTCAGAAAGAAAAAACCTGGACGGAGGACAAATGGCAGGTAGTCATGAGAAGACTCAGAGGAAGCGCAATCAAATGGTTCCGTACATGGAACTGCCGCGACTTTAATAATATGTGGAAGGATTTTCTAATGGCCTTCATAACAAAATACTTGTCTGGACGTTTAGATCTGATTAATGAAGAAGATGAAATCTTCAATGATGATCATGAAGATGAGGAAAATGATGCGGATGAAGAAGAGACCGAGATGGCGGAATCCGAGGTTGCCAACGGCAACGCATCCGCGGAGGAGATTGACGTGTCGGAGCGCGTAAGAGACGACTCGGAGAAGAAGACGATGGAGATGACTGCGGCCGAAGGAGCCGAGATAGAAGAGGAGGAGAACAAGGGAGCCGAGATAGAAGAGGAAGAGAACAAGGGAGCCGAGATAGAAGAGGAGGAGAACAAGGGAGCCGAGATAGAAGAGGAGGAGAACAAGGGAGCCGAGATAGAAGATGAGGAGAACAAAGGAGCCGAGATCGAAGCGGAGAAGGACGGGAACGACGAGTCCATTGTCGAGGTAGAAGACTTCGTGGAACCTGAGTGTCTGGAGAAAGAGTCGAAAATCGAAAATGAGATTGAGAAGCCGAGGTGCTTGATGGAGACCAGCATGGAGGAGACCGCGAATCCGAGTTCCGTGTTGATAACCGGGATGGGGGAGATCCCGGCTAAATCACCGAGTTCATGTTTTGGAGAAGAGCTCGACCCCGACGTGATGAGGTTGACGTCGGCGACCGGCATAGGTCGCTGGTCCGAGATGCCATTGAGGAGGTGCAAGGAAGACGACAATGAAGGAGCCGAGAACAACGAAAAAATGGAAGGTGCATTTGAAGAAAAGGATGTGGTCTTGAAGAGAAAAAGAGGTTTTGTTGACAATACCAATGATGCAGAAATTGTGATTGGACAAGGAAATAAAATTGTGAAAGCAACTGATGAAGTGGCGAATGAACCTGAGTGTCTGGAGAAAGAGTCGAAAATCGGAAATGAGATTGAGAAGCCGAGGTGCTTGATGGAGACCAGCATGGAGGAGACCGCGAATCCGAGTTCCGTGTTGATAAACAGGATGTTGGAGACCGACATAGGCGCGGTTCGGGTTGGAAGTCAGAAGTTGGAGACTGCATTGAATTCATGGTGGAACTGGAAGATGTCGACTCCACCAAAAAGAGACCATTTCCTTGGAGCACGGTTGTCTGAGATTCTATCGATAAGGCGCGTGGAAGCTGGACTCGATGAAGAAGAACCCGGCGATGAAGAAGAACCCGATGATGAAGAAACTGAGAGCGAAAAAATGGAAGGTGTGATTGTGGATAGGGAACCTGGCGATGAGGAGCCTAGAGTTACTTTTATGGCGGAATCATTATGGCTCAAGCGTAAACCAGAAGAAGATCGTGGGGCGGAATCAGAAAATGATGCGTTGAGTTATTTGCTTGATGATGGGAATCAACGGTCCTCAATGAGTGATGGGGTTACTGTGGTTGATGAGGCCCAACGTGCTATTAATGTAGCACATGTTGAATCTGAAAGTATTAAAATTGGCATAGGTGTTGTAAAACTAATGAGATGTTATAGTGATACAGATACTGATCAATATGATGACTTGTGTGGTGATCATACGTGTAAGAATGGATGTGGAAGTATATCGGTGGATGAGGTCGACGGAGAAAAATTCAAGACTGTCTATCTTCCACCAATGAAGGAACCGCCGGACAAAAAAAAAAATTTGAAGAAATGAGTGCAACATGGAAGCAGCGCGAAAAAAAATCAACTGGTGGAAAATTCAAAAAAAAAAGAAGAATTTAAAATTTATGGGGGAGTTTTGTTGGGATAAATTTTAAATGTCTGTTTTTTAGCAATTTTGATTATTTAGTTTCTTGTGTCAGTTAGAATATTAATGAGTCAGTTATGTCAGTTATAAAATAATGAGGGTGTTATGTGTGGAGTTATGTTGGTCAGTTTTATAGCTTATAAATAGCCTTTGATAGTTTGTATGAAATGTAGATCAAGTAGATCAAGAGAAAAAGAAAAAGAGCAAGAAAGCAAGAATAAAAAAGAAAAGTTTTTTTGTAGATACACAAGTATGGTTGTCTCTTGCATCTGTGTGGATATTCAATTCTAACAGTTTCTACAACCGTTTTAACACGTTTTTTGGTCAAAAAATGTAAACTCGTACGTTTCAACCGAGTTGACACTACGTTTTAACAACACTGTCATTACTAACCAATGTGAGACTTGATCACACTTGAATATCCTAAGACTTTGAGTATTGTAGTTCGTTACAATATTTTTATTTTTTAAATTGTAAGTTATTAGTTGTATTAGTCAAAGTTAATTACTAGTCTTATTCTTGATGAAATTAATAAGACTATGAGTTTAGACATTCATTTTCTCCCTTTTTTAATGGGATCAACTTCATCGATAACCACGGAATATTTCATCTTGAAAAATAGATTCATAATTTTCTTATTTTGGCCTCGCTTATTAAGCTTATCATATTGAGCTAAGGCTTGATGTTGATGGGATATATTGATTTATTTTCGGCCTCAACAAAGGATTTCAGGAATTCAAGGATGTACAACAACACATATCATTAATTCGAGTGATGAGATGCTTATCTATTTATAAACATTGACACAGGCTTTTCATTTATTAAGGCCTGGAGCGGACAGCTGTGAATGTGAGCCGTAGCCTAAGTTAATGGATCTCAACTTTTGTTTTAAGTAGATAGGTTTCCAAATATTGTTTTAGTAGGAAAAAATTCCAGATTAGTAATGTTACTCATCATTATATCTAACATAATTAATTGTTTCTGATCATGGTACACACCATATAATAGGGGATCTATTTTGTGCATCAATATATCTCAGAACGGTTGGAGGAGATGTCATTAATGGGGGACCATTTGTAACTATTATTTACAAACTGCAATGGACATGGTGGAAATGGCAGGTAAAATCATTTGTGATTTTGCCGGAACTACAAAAATTCCCGTGACTTTCGACTTTCATGTAGTGTTCTCAAGGTTATTATTTAAGGCCCACTACGTTTCACTTTCAAGTTCAGATGAGAAAGTTTGTGTAACCTCCATGCCAATTTTTTTTTTCTTACTTTAATTATATTTTTAAAGTGAGTTGGCCCTTCGATATCCTCGTAAGTTTTAACTATTTGAGCCGTCTATGAGATTATTCTCGAGTCGAAACTTAGTTATAGTTAAAGTTCATCGTCTCTCTATAAAAATGTATTTGATGAGAATCAAACTCAGATTTTCTCCTCATTCTAGTCAACTTGTGTTGCCTACTTGGCTACAATTCTCTTTGGTTGTGACCTCTATGCTAGTTATTGCAATACAAACTATACAAAGCTATTGAGCTGATGCAAACAAATTTCCAGTTAGACTTACACTATAATTAATGAATATTCTAGGGTGTGCTAAAGTGAGGATACGAGATTGAAGCTGGTAGGTGTAGTGCGATGTCACAGTTGTACTTTTGCGTCTTCACTCGAAAAAGGTAATTGTGTGCATAATAGGGAAAAGTGATACAAGCCCTTTCCTATCCTAGTGTGCGAGATTTACTTTGCAATTAATCCATAAATTAATGCATGCTAAGGTCACTAATAGGGAAAGTATTAAATCCATTTCCTACCTGTATTGGTGTGTGTCATATTGTGTACTTTTTCAGAGGCCCTGAATTGCATACACACCCATGCATGTATGGCACTGCGACGTTCGGGGATTATAATAATTTTAATTTGTCATTAGATTTTATAAATTGATTTTGGTGCGTACGTTCTTGATAATAGTGAACCGACTTCATCGTTGGCTCTTCTTTTTCTCTCTATCCACTTTTCTAATGAGTATTTGTAATTAAGTTACTACGCCCTGCAACTTGAATTTAAAAATGATGATGATAAACTTCGGGCCATGCTATTCCTCCCTTTGCTTCAAGCTACGTAAAACCCTTCTCTTTCGCTATACGGAATTGGTAAAACATAGTTTAGTATTGCAATTTGGAAAAGAGGTTATATATACTATATAGTGATTGCTACAGCAATAACTTCAATGATTAAGGTTACACTCAAAAAAAGTTACAAAAGATTTGAGTATTTCTTTTTCTTTGAAAAATAAAATAAAAAAAGTAACTTTGGACCACATCACTGAAATTATGAAGAAAAACTTTAGCATTTTATTCACATTGTTGGAAATCGACAATCACACAAATTCGCAAAACAAAACAAAAGAAAAAGAGAGAGAGATTGACACGGTAATTTATCCTGGTTCATCCAATATAAACTACGTCCAGCTTGTCTGTACTATATTTACCTCACCGCCACTCGTTACAAGTCACTCGATTTACAAGAAGAATATAAATAAGATTACAAAGACCCTAATAACAGCTATTCATTGGCTCAAGCCCAAACTGCTATGAAAATAAAAAATTACAATAGATAAGAGGCCTACGACAATACCTAGTCTCTATGGGCCTTGGGACACGGCCCCCTGGACCCTCGCCCGCTCATCTGAGAGTGAGATTCCAATTTTCTTTCTGCTAACTCGACAACAAGACCCTCCTCAGCATGTGAAGTATGAAAGTAATATATATTATTCAAACACATCATGTGAAGTATGAACCATAACTAACAACCATAAAGATGACATGGCTAAGCAGTGGATTTAGTTATTTAAAGCAATTCCATTTTCAAGCTTTAGAGGTCTTCGAATCTTCACTCTTCCATTTCCAAGCAATATAGCTATATCCTAAGTCCTAACGTAGCATTAAAATCAAATCAAACCCACCATGACATGAACATAATATATGATTCAAACACATCACTAACACACACACACACACACATATACACATAACAAAACGAAATGTTCTTCTCAATCTTCACCACCGTCATTGTTCTTTCTCTCTCAACTTCTCTCTCATACTCCACGGACTTATTCCTCTACGGCGGGTGCACACAACAAAGGTACAACCCTAACTCGCCCTACGAGTCAAACCTCAACTCGCTCCTCTCCTCGCTGATAAACTCAGCCACCTTCTCCTCTTACAACAACTTCACCGTCGTAGGTTCAAGCCCCAACGACGTCGTTTACGGCCTTTACCAGTGCCGCGGCGACCTCGCCATGCAGGACTGCGCCTCCTGCGTATCTCGCGCTGTCTCACGCGCCGGCGACCTCTGCCCGGAGGCTTGCGGCGGCGCCGTCCAGCTCGACGGTTGCTTCGTGAAGTACGACAATGCGACATTCTTGGGGGTGGAGGACAAGACGGTGGTGCTGAGGAAGTGCGGGCCGTCCGTCGGGTACGACCCGAATTCGATGGGTGTAAGGGATGCGGTCTTGTCCGGGTTGGCGGGTTCGGGTGGGTATTTTCGGGTTGGCGGGTCGGGTGTGTTGAAGGGTGTGGCGCAGTGCACCGGTGACTTGAGCTTCGCTGAGTGTCAAGACTGCGTGGCGGAGGCGATCCGACGGCTGAGGAGCGATTGCGCCGCCGCCGGTTACGGGGATATGTTCTTGGCCAAGTGTTACGCCAGGTACTCCACTGGTGGGGCCCACGCTTACTCCAAGGCCCATGGTAAGGCACAAAACTGAATGACCTGTTAAAATAAAAACCCAAAAAAAAATAATTTATTTATTTTTATTGATGATTCGTGTTTAGTTGAGTTAACTAATTTATTTTGTTGTATTGATGATTCGTGTTTAGCAGGTAAATCAGGCAATGAAGGTGAAAAGACATTTGCCATAATTATTGGATTATTGGCAGGTGTAGCTATACTTATTATTTTCCTTGCTTTCTTGAGGAGGATTTGTGAGGGACAAGGTAAATACCACATTTTTTTTAATTTAATTAATTAGTTCTGTATAAGAAAAATACCATGGTTTCGGCTTACATTTATAACATGATTCCTCAATTTTTATTTTTATTTTTGAATGCAGGTAAATAAATTTATTTGAGTTTGTTAAACTCAGTGGTATGACACTGAGCCACTGATCAATTCTCAGCCTTCTTCGTTGGTTTGATTATGGGAACTCTTATGCTTTCCTTTTTATCTTCACAATGTCTTCTTTTTCGTCCCTCTCTCCTTATCTTGCCCTTTATTATTTCTAATATAAAATTCTATTCAAAAGAGGACTTTGATGAGGATATCATATGGGAAAAGAATGCAAGATGGGACACTCATTTGAATACAAAATGCAAAAGGAAAGAGAAAAGAGACTTAAGATTCTGTTTTCTTCAATCCTCGCCACTTAACAAAGTTATGTTGTCTCACACTTTGCAAAGAATTAATTATATCATTCTTCTTTTTTTAAAAGCTGTATAAGATTTCACCTTTGTGTATCGTCAGTATATGCTCCCATGAACTTTTCGGTATATCTGTCATCTGATATAAGAGATTTTTCTTTTGGTGCATTTATTGTCTGAGGCTTGTTAGTTATATACACAGATGAATAATGTACGAATATATGTGTTATATGTTAATGTTATGGCCTCACATGCACTTTACAAACATTATAACTCCATGACATTTTGAGCTAGGAAATGGATGTAAACTGTTAGCTAAAAAATAACCTAAACATCATTTGCCAAATTAGTCTCAATGAATAAGTAAAAGGACAGCTTACTACATAAACAATTTGTATTTCAATTCAGAATCTGAGATACATTAATTGAATAAATGGATATAAGAGGAAAGGAAAGAAGGAAGGAATATCAATTATTGCTTCCTAAAATAACCTAAATCTCAATTAAGTAGAAAAAAGGGGGTCAAAGTTTAATTACTCGTGCATCATCAAATGCTTTTCGATTGGCGTGTATGTACATGTTCAATTAGGTTTAATATTCAAAAAAATGGAGAAATATATATATATATATATTTTTTTTTTTGAGAAAGTGTTTGCTACTTTGCTTTCGTGGAGCCATAGAAAGCTGTATGCTTTTGAGAAGGGCAGGACCAGTGGATCTTAAAAGAAGGAAACGCCTTTCACTTTTTCTTTTCTTGCTTATGTTTTTTAAAATTAACTTTTTGACAGATACGTAAAATGCATTTTTAAAGGAAAACTCAATATATACATAAGAGTTATACTCTCAATATTAAAATATCAAAAACAATGGGAAGTAAACATTTTGATATTTAATAACCGTTGCAAGTATAAGAAAATGGTAGTTGGTCGACACTTGTTATAAGGATAATTGTCCTTCGGAATCTACCTATACTTGAATTTCATATAATAGCAGCAGAAGTCATCAACACTGAATAATAAATGTTTCTTATTCAAAATTTAAAACACGAGTATTATTATTAAATTTCTTTGTAGTCTAAATTTTGAGAAATACACTGGTAGAGCAAAATTATTCTTCAATTTTGTTTATTGTTTTTACCAGCATGTTAGATCGTATTATATTTTAGGACTATATTAACTGAAATAGATAATTAAATTTCGATAATGAGAAATAAATTTATTTCATGTTCACAATGCATTGTGGTTACAAAAACAGAATAAAATAAATTAATAAATACAACTTAGTTGAAATGTATTACGTGTTTAAAATTAAATGAGAGAAATTATACTTATAACATTTTTCTTTTACAATTTCTACTAGTATTTAAAAATCTGGCCCGACCGAGGTCTGGGTCATGGAGTCACGGGTTCAATCGGAGGGTCACGGGGTCACTATATTGACCCGATTTTATATATTAAAAAATATAAATATATATATCATATATAAAAATATTAAAAAAACAAACCATCAACCATCAAAGATTCAAAATATACTTAACATAATTCACTAATTACAACCACAAGTCAATATTACACAACCTAATTAAAGTATTAAGATACCAAAGTACAAAACTCATATTCTAATGGGATCAATAAGCTGACATGTTTCTGCCTCTTTGGAGAAGGTCCCTGACAAAGAAAAATTTAAAGGAAGTAAGAATGAGTTTTTGTTTTCCATCGACGACCGTAAGAATTTCATTTAAATAGATAAATTCTTACCTTTTCTAGAAGATTCACGTCTGCGAGTGAAGATTGAAGACATATAGGTCGCTGGGAGAGAAGAGAACGATTAGATTTAGTTTTGCAAGTACTTTTTTTTTTTAATAAAACGAAATTGTTTCATGGAATTTTAAAAAAATGCAGTGACCCCCTTAATTTGACCCCTTTGACCCGGGAGTCACTGAAACCCGGCTAGATTTTGGGTGTTGGAGGGATCGATGTGCATATAGGGTCTAACTTGTGACCCCAACCCTCAGAGGGGAGGGGTCAGGGTTGACCCGGGTCAACCCGGGGGGCGGAGTGGGGTTTTAAAACACTGATCTCTACAATCATTTTTGTTAGACCGGTCTAGGGGAAGCCCGTGGCGGGAGATCACCACCAATGAGCTAAGTTACATCAATCGTAGCAAGTGAGTCCGACACCACATCTCAACCCAAAACCTTAAGGCATTGGGTTCATGAGTCCTTCCACTTATATACTCTTCACTTAGCCCATTACCAACCAATGTGTGACTCATCACACTTGAATATCTCAACAATGAAAATAAAATTAAATCAATTTTTATTATTGTTGTCTTAAAATTAAATCAATGACTTTCACTTGATGTTATTTTATAATTTTTAATTTAATTTTGATATAATAATAATAGACATGATTATAAGGAAAAAGAGATCGTGAATATAACATATATTAAATCAAATAAATCAAAGAAAATTTAAAAAAAAAAAAAATCAAAACAGAGGGAAGTCATATTTACAACCTCTTTTTGCTTACAATATTTTACAATCGAATCTTAACTGTTGATTTTCATTAATTTGACGGTTATAATTTATTGAGTCACACTTATTAATTAATTATTAATTTTTAATAAATTATAACCGTCAGATTGACGAAAATCAATGGTTAAAATTTAGTTTTAAGAGGCTATAAGCGAAAATATATTGTAAATATAATCTACTTTATCAAAATATTATAAAAACTGCATATTAATAGTTAACTTTGTCTTTTCGATGAAATCAAACTAATATTAATGGAGGAAAGTTTTTTTAATTTTCTTTTGTTTTTTGGGCCAAGAAAATGTGGCGTTTGAAATTGTAGGTATCTAATGGCTAGCCCAAAGAATAACCCATTGGACAAAATATTCGATCATACCTGTTTTTAAGGCCGAAAACAATATTGTATAATCTTCGCTCTGAAGCCCAACAACAATTTTTCTTTTTCCTTGCTTACTCTCTTTCTCTCTCTCTTTCTAATTATTTGTTGGGATTTATGAATATTATGTTACATGATGAAGCTTACATCATGCTACACTCTCAATGCAAGTGGACCCCACAAGTTTTTATCAAAAAACAAAAAATAAGAAAATAGTTGAGCCCACTTGCATTGTGAGTGTAACATGATGTAAGCTTTATCATGTAACATAATATTCATAAATCCCTTATTTTTTTACCGAAATGATAATCCTGACTTTTGTCATAACAAAGGAATATGTTAATTTGTCCTATAAATTTAGTTTTTCGTTAAAAAAATTATTCTTGATACATTTGGATTTGGCTGCATTTGATCCTATAGCTGGGGTTGGTTGCATTTGATCCATTGCATTACATGCATTTTATATTAAAAAAATAAAAAAATTTATGGGTTAAGAGCATTTTCGTAAATCTGTAAAGTTATGGTAGACTAGTAAATTCTCATAACAAGTAAAGGCATAATTGGAATTTCATATAAAAATAATTTTAAAAATTAAAATTAATATAGTTAAATAATTTTATCTACCCTCATCTTAGAAAAAACACTTTTACCTGTCTTAAAAGTGATCTACCCATCATATAGGGGTTGACCCTAGTTTTTACTTTTTCAAAAAGCCAATATACCTATGTACTAATACATCTTCTAAATCAAAAAATTGCTTTCAATGCTAGTTTACGAAATTCAGTAAAATTGACTCTAGTTCCCACTAATATTTCATAATTAACCAAATACATATTTAGTAAAATTAACCATAAAATTCAGGAAAATTTTTATTATACCAAACACCTTTTAATAATATTTCAAAACATATATATTCCTCAGTTATAATTGTTTCTCAGATAAATAAAAATTTCGCCTCTACCGAATACTCCCTTAGACTTTTTACCGTCATCTTCGAGAAATTTTCTTTTAAGATTCATAAGTTCTATTAATACTTTTTGACTAAGAATTGTGAGTGGAAGTGAGATTAGAAAGTGTCCTTCAACTTGTGTGATGCAATATTACTTTCACCCTCGTCACTTGCGGACAAATGCCCGCAATTATGGACATAAAATTTTTCATTTCATTTCAATTTTTTTAGTTGCAGGTCTTTATTTATCTCTTGATTCAATATATATATATGGGATAAGTTATTTTACTTACTATTCTTTTTGTCTATCTTTACCTACCACTCTTAAATACCGTAGATCAGAATCTCAATAGAAGAGAGAAATAAAAAATATAGTTGAGATTCTGATCTAACGGTGTTGAAGGGTGGTAGGCAAAGGTAGGCAAAAAAAATAGTAGGTAAAACCTACGAAGCACCGACACTTCAAAAATCCTGACGTGTCGTGTCCGACACTTCCCGACACTCTCGGACACTCCTCGACACTCCAACACGCGTTATAGAAATTCAAAAAAAAGTTCAAAGGTTGCGTTGCGTTGAGATTTTAGTTTCAATTATTAGATTCATTGAATTACGATTACCATTTTATTGAGTTTAATATAAATATTTGAGATATCTTATGTTTCTTTTTAAAATTTATGAATATTATAAGTTTAGATTCATTTTTTTCGTTAAATTATTAAATATTACATACAATATATATTACATAAATTAAAATTTTTATGTAATATCAAAACGTGTCCTAACGTGTCGAAATCTAACATTTTTTAGAATTAACGTGTCGGAGTGTCGTGTCGCATCGTGTCACGTGTCTCGTG